AAGGAAAGGAAAAAAGGGAAGAGAAAGGAAAGAAAGAAGGAAGAGAAGAAAGGAAGAGAGAAAGAAAGAAAAAGGAGAGGAGGGAAGAGAGAAGGGAAAGGAAGAGAGAAAGGAAAGGAAAGAAAGAGGGAAGAGAAAGGAAAGGAAAGGAAGAGAGAAAGGAAGAAAAAGGAAAAGAAAGGAAGAGCGAAGGGAAAGGAAAAGTAAGAAAAGGAAAAAAGGGAAAAGAGAAGGGATCTCAGCTCACACAGACAAAGTGACAAGCCAACATGACTCACAAGGAGACAGGATCCACTCAAACAATAGGGCAATTCACTAAACCTCCATTAACCATAGTTACTGGAAACTTCAACGTGATGGTTCCCCCGAAGAAGGTCTAAGCTCCTGGCTAAGTTTCACATTCCGACCTGAAAGACCTGGGGTCCTTCTGCAACCTTCTCCCCCAGATGAAGTCCCTCATCACCTCCCTCTGGCATCAGACCATGACTCAAATCTGGTTGCTATGGCGATGCCAGACCTATTCGTCTTTTTTTTAAAACCCCACATATCTGTTATCGCAAAGGAGCCGAGGGTTATTTTTCAAACTTTTGCCAAAAAAAAAAAAAAATGTGCTTGGCAGGAACCAGGCTTTGAACGGGGCGTTAGCAAAAAAAAAAAAACGCAATTTAAGATAACGGAGGAAAATTATGTCAAAGGAGGCTTCCTCCCCGTCTCCTTTTTCCTTGTTTGAAATGTCCTTCCGTGATTTAATCCTAAGTGAAATAAATGCGTGATTAGCATCTGGCGGGATTTAAAAATGATTGCTCATGCTCAGAGCTGCTCCAGATGTTACCTGTAACAAACTGAAGATAAAGGGAATTTAAAGGACTTGGCCCCTTTAAATTCTCTTTTCCTTTTTGAGTTCCCTCCCCCCCACCCCCACCCCAGGGGGGGAGAAAAATCAGGATTTATGGCATGCGTTCCTCTTTCCAGAAAGAAAAACAAAAATGACATCCCATCATTTAGGAACTATTTCTGCAGTCCTGGTAGATTCAGAAGCTATGATCCATCGGGAGACAAACCTTGGGTCAGATTTTTGCAATCTTAAGCAAAAGGGTGCGGAAGAATGTGAGACTCCTCTACAAAAAAATCTGCTCTCACAGACAAATTAGGCATAAAGTTGTTTTTGGGTTGCCGTTTCTAGTCTGTTCTTCTCCCCGCGGCCAGATTAATATACCTCCTCCCATTTAATTCCTGCAAGAACTTCCAAGGCTATGTAATGGCATGGTTAGGAATAATCTTGGGAGACAAACTGACAAGGAACCAGTCAGATAAGAGATGGCGTAGCCCATGGCTACATAATGGGCGGGAAAAGAGACTTAGAAGAGACCTTCCCTAGTTTCTTGGGATGTAAAAGAGAGGGCTGTAATGATATGTGAGAAAGACCTTGGGAGTTGGGGAAGAAAAATGAAAGAAGAGAAGCTGCCTAGGGAGCGGTCGGATAGGAGATGGCATAGCCCACGGCTGCATAATGGGTGGGGAAAGAGACACAGAAGGAACCCTCCCTAGTTTCTTGGGCTGTAAAGGAGGTGGCTATAATGGTATGTGAGAAAGACCTTGGGAGTTGGAGTAGAAAAGGAAAGAAGAGAGGCTGCCTACGGAGCAGTTAGATAAGAGCCGGCATAGCTCACAGCTGCATAAATGGGTGGGGAAAGAGACTCAGAAAGGACCCTCCCAGGGGTGGGATCCGACAGGGTTAACAACCAGTTCGGTCATTTACGAGGTTCAGTGATTTACAATGTGCTTCCTGTAAATCGTCATCAGCACGCTGTGTGCAGAGAAGCAGCCTTTCAGAAAGGCCTCTTTTTCTGCTTTTTTAACTGCAGCTGTGCCTCAGATGGCAGCTGAAGTTGAAGGGGTCAGAGCAACCGGTTCAGCCAAACTGGGCTGAACCGGTAAAATACCACCGTTGCTATAATGGTATGTGGGAAAGACCTTGGGAGTCAGAGGAAAGAGATGCCGCCTAAGGACAGCATAGCCTTCAATTTCCTAATGGGTGGAGAAAGAGACTCAAGAAGGAAGGGACCCTCCCTCGTTTCTCAGGCTGTAAAGGAGGCGGCTATAATGGTATGTGAGAAAGACCTTGGGAGACAAGGGGAAAGCGCCGCCGCCAAGGGAACGGCCAGATAAGGAACCGCTTATCGAGCAGCTAGACAATGAATGGCTCAGAAGGGACCCCTCCCTAGTTTCTCAGGTTGTAAAAGAGATGGGGGGGGGGGGGAAACTACAGGTAGTCCTCGACTTACAACATTTTAGCGACCTTTCAAAGTTGCAGCAGCACTGAAAAAAGCGACTTATGACCGTTTTCCCCACGTACAACCCTGGCAGTATCCCCACCGTTACATGATCCAAATTCAGATTGCTTGGCAACAGATTCATACTTATGACGGTCGTAGTGTCCTGGGGGGGGTGTCACGTGATCCCCTTTTGCGACCTTCTGACAAGCGAAGTCGGGGGCGGGGGGGGGAAAGCCAGATTCGCTTAACAATGTGTGACTAACCCAACAGCTGCAGAGATTCGCTTCACAACGGTGGCAAGAAAGGTCCTAAAAAGGGGAGGGGAAACTCACTTAACAACCATCGCGCTTAGCAACAGAAATTGGAGTCGTAAGTTGAGGACCCCCTGAGTTTTCAAACCTGCAAGATTCATCCATGTAGCTTTGTAATAAAGCAGAGATCGTTCTAGAATCAAAAGTAAGAATCGACGCAGTCAGTTCAGTTGTATAATTGAAAGCTCCTGCTTTTTTAAAAAAAATATTATTATTTCAATTTTGGTAGCCAACAAAATTCCCTCGCTCTCCCAGCAGTAGATAGATAGATACCCCTCTTGGCTGCAACCAGGGCTCTTTGACTCTGACTCAAGCCAAGTTTAGTTATGACACTTCCTTTCCCAGGAAAACTTTCCATTCTGACCGCTCCAGTTTTGAAGTTTTAAGAAGCAAATGTACAACTTGCTTTTCTTCCTTGGTTTTTTTTTCTTTTTTTTGCAGGAGTAGCCGAGCCGGGAAGAAAAAGACAAGAAAGAAAAAAAAAACCCAGGCCATGTGCACCGGGATATCTCATTCCCCAAAAATGTGGAATCCCACAGAATTTTGGCTCGTTGCTGTGTCTAGACTGGGAACTGTTACATGAAGCCGGTTTCTAAAAGTCTGTTTTTGGAAAAGAGGTTTTATTTTTTTTTTCTGTTAGAAAACAGGCTTCTTCTGGAGGCAAATGAAGATTAAATGGCTTCTTCAGGACGCTTCCGCCCAATGTTGGTTTGAAATAGACGGCCAGCCAATCGCCAACAGCTTCCTGGGTAGAGCTGTAAGTGGGAGGAGTTTGTTTTCCCAAATTTTAATTTACTATTCTTCCAGGGTGTGGAGAAAGCGGGGGAAAAAAACCTGTTCCCAGTTTGGTTTTGAAGCTAAAAGTCTCCCAATCGAAAGCCAAAAGTCTCCTCCAGCCTGGTTATTCGGTGTGAAGGTTCACCTATTATCTTTGGACATAACAGTGCATGTTACAGGATATATTTAGTTTGGAAAGTATTTCTAGACTTTGTGTCCAAAGGCAGAGGAAAAAAAATGAACTCTTGACTCTGGGATTTGCTGATTAGATTACTTTGTGGTTATAGAAAGGCTAGGATTTATCAAGTATGTAAAAGTAAAAAAGCGGAGGCTATAATTTTATTTTTTATTCTACTGCGCTGAAAAAAGTTAGAAGTCAATTCTTTCTTTCTTGTATCTTATACTTCTTCTCTTTTTCTTTCTGTCTTTCCTTCCTTCCTTCCTTTTCTTCTTTCTTTTTCTTTCTTTCTTTCTCTTTCCTTTTCTTTTCTCTTTCTTTCTTTCTTTCTTTCTTTCTTTCTTTCTTTCTTTCTTTCCTTACTTCCTGTTCTTTCTTTCTTTCTTTCTTTCTTTCTTTCTTTCTTTCCTTCCTTCCTTCCTTCCTTCCTTCCTTTCTCTTTGTCTGTCTTTCTCTCTTTTCCCTTCCTTCCTTTCTTTTCTCTTTCTTTCTTTTTCTTCTTTCTTTCTTTCTTTCTTTCTTTCTTTCTTTCTTTCTTTCTTTCTTTCTTTCTTTCTTTCTTTCTTTCTCTTTCCTAACTTCTTTCTTTCTTTCTTTCTTTCTTTCTTTCTTTCTTTCTTTCTTTCTTTCTTTCTTTCTTTCTTTCTTTCTTTCTTTCTTTTCTCTTTCTTTCTTTTCCTTTCCCATTTCCCCCTCTATCTATTTCATTCATGTTTTATATCATATTTATATATGATCTTAATGGAAAAAAAATAAAAAACAGATATGACAAGAGATGTTTCTAGGTTCCAGTCAGCCTGTTGGGGTCATTGACCATTGTGGAGGCTAAGTCAGCAAACTATGTTAAAAAGCGACACGGTTAAGAGAAATGTATAAACCCAGTGACTAGTTCCAGGGACTCTTGATCCTCTGCTCATGAATCCCATATTGACTGGAGTAAAATCATCGGAAGAAAATCTAAGCTTTTAACTTCAACTGTTACAATAACTTTCCAAGTTGTGGGAAAGGCTTTGACATTGAAGTTACATTCTCCCAACCACATAAATAGTTTGGGTTCGTATTTACTTCAAACAAGAAAAGCAAAAAGAAACAGAAGAAATAAATAAATAAACTTCGTTCACTGTGGAAACTGTTGCAAAGCCTTAAGGCACACAAGCCACATTGCTTAAGGTTGTACATTTTAACAGGCCAGCAAAGCACAGCCGGTGCTTAAAACGGACCATTTAAACCGCATCCAACATCCTACAAGTCTTGTGTTTTTTTCATTTCCACCTTTTAAAGAAAACGCAAGAAATGTCCTTTGAGTTTCATGTTTGATGAATGAAGTATATAATAAGGTTTACGTATATGTTGTAATTTTTCATCACTTACTTGTGCATAGCAATAATCTTTTATCTTCTAATTTCTAACCCTTTTATCTAATCACTGGTAAAACAAATCCCAGGCTAAAAAAAATATTCCGATTCTTCCTTGTCGGCATTTTCGATGCTGATCCATCCATCTCCGTGCATTCTAGTATTTTCGCATTATATTTTCACCCTCCATCAATTATTGTAGCTCTTCTCTTGCGCTCTTTCTAGAGCCTTGGCATCTTTGCGTACCATCGGGTATTTTTATTCTGATTCCCAGCAGATTCGTGGACTGCTGTGTGAAGGGATGATGAGACCTTTGATTCCTGCTCATCAGGGGGTTGTTAGGCCACCTGCAGCCTCCAGCAGTTGTTCTCCATGCCTTCAAGGGGTGAGAACCTGAGCTCTGTTCAGCTCTGCGTCAACTCCCAAGAAAATATGCCCCTGTTTATTCCTGAAGCTCAGGGATGTTAAAACCGTACTTACTGTCAAAGTCTGAGGATGCCTCCTTACTCGTCTGCAGGTTTCATCCTCATCTGGGCTTGCATTTGGGCGATCATCTCCTGCATACGACGCAACTGGGTGTGGGGAGAGAGAAAAAAAGAGAGAAAATGCGGTGTCCAGTTAGCAATAGCAGTAGCACTTAAGACTTATATACCGCTTCACAATGCTTTCCAGCCCTCTCTTAAGCGTTTTACAGAGTCAGCCTCTTGCCCCTGACAATCTGGCTCCTCATTTTACCCACCTCGGAAGGATGGGAGGCTGTGTCAACCTTGAGCCAGTCAGGATCGAACTGCTGGCGGAGTGGCAGAGTCAGCCTACAGTGTTGCAGTCTAACCACTGCACCACCAGGAAGTAGGGTATGTGATGCAATGCAAACGATCTTAATGCATTGTAGTCCTTGACTTAAACGGCTGTTACAAAATGACTTGAAAAATGTTACTTACGACTGGTCCTCAAAGTTACAACTGCCACATCACCTCCACAGCCCTGTGGTCACTTGATCATGTTTTGCAATGTTTTTTGGCCAAAAACTGCCAAAATGAGATAAAACCAACTTACGACCATATGATTCGCTTTATAGCAATAGCCCTTAGACCTATACACTGCTTCACAGTGCTTTACGGCCCTCTCTAAGCAGTTTACAGTGTTTATCACAATGGTGACTTGCTTCATGACTATTATCAAAACGGTTGCAACATCGAATTTGTCATGTGGTGACTCAACTTACATCTGCAATGACTTACAACCAAAATACCTGGCTCCATTATGATCCTAGAGGATTACCTGTATTAAAAAAAAACAACCTCTGCATTCTACAGAGTGGAGAACCCAAGAATTTCCATTCAGAAAACCACCAATAACGGGAAGACATTCCCACGATGCTGTTAACGGGGTACTTGGTATTTAAGGTATGTTTTAACTAGCCACTAATCTGGAGGCATATGGCCAAAACACACAAGCTGCTTGCAATTATTATTTTCTTCAATTCTCCCGTGGGAATCCTTTTCTCCCGTGGGACCCCTTTGGGTATTGCAGAAGCCACATTCTTCAAGCATGACCCACTGCTCGCTCCAAGCTATTTATGGACAGCAATTTGTTTTCTGTTTTCCCGTCCATTCTGGCATTTACGGTAAACTGAACGAGAAAAGACTAAGAAGAATTTTTTAATAAAAATAACCGCGGCAGGAAGGGGGATGAAGAATTCGGCCAAGAGCATGTCTGTGTTACTATAAAAACATTTTTTAAAAAAAAAATCTACTTGCTAGCGGCTTCATAAATGGCCAACTCAACATCACTCACGTCGAGGCATGCAACTCCTCGCCTGGCCTCTCGTGACTTTGGGGATGCTTCATCAGTCGTAAGTGTGAAAAATGGTCATGTCACTTTTTCCAGTGCCATTGTAACTTTGAATGGTCACTCCACACAAGCAAAGTACCAGCAAAGGAGGGGAAAAAAACTCCAGAGAAGTTCCTGAGACAGGAAGTCTAGTCCTGCCAAGAATGTAAAAAGGATTAATGGAGAGGCAGTTTCTATAAGCAACACCAGAATGTTTCCTTCCTGCCTTCCTTACAGGATTAGGCCAGTAATTTCTTCCAACAACCGGTTCTCCGAACTGCTTCGAATGTTAACAACCGGTTCTAGAGAATAGGTGCAAAGTGATAGAATCCCACCCCTGCCCCTAGTCCTTTTTTTCATCAGATTAGACATCCTTCTGAAGTCTGTAAAATGAGGGTCCAAATTGTTGGGAACAATATGCTGACTCTATAAACTGCTTAGAGAGAGCCGTAAAACACTGTGAAGTGGTATATAAGTCTAAGGGATATTGCTATATCCAAGCACGAATAGTAAATTCAGTGCATATTAAATGTCTCTATTCTTGTTCCTACTTCCTGGATTATTCATTATTATCACCACTATCTAGCAGTGTTAGATAGCAGTCTTTTGATATCTCAGGGGTTACCACAAAGAAGAGGGAGTCAAGCTATTCTCCAAAGCACCTGAAGGCAGGACAAGAAGTGATGGGTGGAAACTAATCAAGGAGAGAAGCAATCTAGAACTAAGGAGAAATTTCGTGACAGTGAGAACAATTAATCAGTGGAACAACTTGTCTCCAGAAGCTGTAAATGCTCCAACACTGGAAGTTTTTAAGAAAAAAAATGGATAACCATTTGTCTGAAGTGGTGTAGGGTTTCCTGCCTAGGCAGGGGGTTGGACTAGAAGACCTCCAAGGTCCCTTCCAACAACAACAACTTCTTCTTCTTCTTCTTCTTCTTCTTCTTCTTCTTCTTCTTCTTCTTCTTCTTCTTCTTCTTCTCCTCCTCCTCCTCCTCCTCCTCCACCTCCTCCTCCTCCTCCTCCTCCTCCTCCTCCTCCTCTTGCATAGTTCTGCTTTTAAATTTTTGTTTTTTAAATCTCCATCCTCAAACAAAACGCAACAAAAACCAAACCATTTGAGATGTCACTATAAGGAACCAAATTACAGATGTTTTTTGACTTACAACAATTCATTCAGTGATCGGTCGAAGTTATGGCACTGAAAAAAAGGTGACTTAAGACCGTTTTTCACCCTGTTGCAGCATTGCCATGGTCACATGATCAAAATTCAGACACTTGGCAACTGGTTCCTATTTACGATGGTGTTCGCAGAGTCATGCGATTCCCCTCTTGCAACAGGCAAAATCAGTGGAGAATCCTGACTCACTTAACAACTGTGTTGCTAAACGAACAACTGCAGTGATTTGCTTAACAACAGTGGCAAGGGAAGTCGTACAATGGGGCAAAACTCACTTAACAAATGTCTCGCTTAGAAACGGACATTTTTCAGGTCCATTGTGGTCGTAAGTCAAAGGCTATCTCTAGCCAATATCGGCATAAGCTCGGTGCTAACGTGCAAAATTACTTTTTTCGCCTTGTGTTTTTTTCCAGCCCAACGAATTTTCCGATCGGAACTATTTGAACCGAGAAAGCTGTGGGAGGATGTGGAATTAAAGGAGGAGAATGCATCTTTTTTAACATTTTGGTGATCGGATTAAAAAAAAACGGTGGACTTTTGAGATCTGAGAGACTCAAAACATGCCTTTTGTTTCTGAAGAACCTTCCTGTTTCAAAATTCCTTTTGTTTTTGAATAGGCAGCCAGGTTTTATATTTGGAAGAAGAGGGAGATATTTAAAGGCAGTTCAGGAAGCAAAAACCCAGCAGACACGACACTAAACGAAGGCCGGGAAGAAAGAGACCAGGAACAAAGCATGGAAAAGATTAATGGTTATTTGAAAGTCAAGGTTTTTTATCCTTTGATGATAAAATCCAGAATAACTACTGAGCAGGAGTTGATCTCTTGATCCTGATGAATCTGGAACTCCTGCAAGGTTTGTGTCTGTCTGTCTCTCTGTCTGTCTCTCTCTCTCTCTCTCTCTCTCTCTCACACACACACACACACACACACACGCTCAGAGGGTTATATAAACTTTCCAGATTTGTAAAAAGATTTCCAAGCGCTCTTATTGCTCAGAATGTAAAAACGTTAAAAGGGAAATTGATGTTTGTGCTCCCAACAAAGTCCAAGGAATGTAAACCCATTTCCTGTGTCTGCCTCTCCATCTTCCTCGAGCAGTATAAATACGGCTTTAGAGGACAGGCAGTTTCTTAGGTAAGATAAACTTGGCTTGCAAGATGGTTATGACACTAAAAATACCGAAGGTGGTTTTGGAAGGATGGAATCAGAAAAAAGAAACCACAGTATCAACAACCTCAGTAGAGAGGTCTGCTTCTGGGGATAGATTATGTCTAGAGAAGATGTTATTGAGGACATGGAACAAATTTTATTTGACAAAATAGGGACGGTACTGAAAATGGATATATGTCAGACAGGCCACGAGAATGACTTAGAAAAGGATGTTTCGCTGGTTCTACAAAAGAAACTGGCTCAGGTTCTCAAATGTAAAAAAGCAAATACAAACGAGAAACCAAGAAAGCGATCTGGGTAATCTTTTTCCCCTACTGGGTTTTCAAAAGAGGATTGTTAAAAGCCTTGAAGAACTCTGCAATTCTTAAATAAAATTCCCAATAAGTAAATAAATAAAAGGGGATACGGTATAGAACAACCTCAATCACTAGTTTTGGAGGGCATCTGCTGCCTCTTGACGGTTTCTTTGGCTTGGCTCTTTAACCATGGTTAAAGGTGCGTCCTTCAAAAGACTGTTGTTGTTGGTTAACACTCATTAAATTTGAACTCAACAGATACCCCCGGCTTGGCTTCTAAGTCCTTACCTCGGCCTCCTTCTGCTGAAGGATCCTATCTTTGTCCATGACTTCTTCTTCCGCAGGCCTGTGAAATATAAGATGGACCACAGAATTAAAGGCAAAGAACAAGAATTATCTCAGTTGCACCAAACTGAAGACTCCCTGTACCATAGACTTTTTTTCCTAGTAAAACCTGGCAGGGAAAGAGAACTATTGAAAACTCGAGATTCGCTTTTCTCGCCATGTACGTGTATACATCCAACATTAGACTGTGTTGTTTTGCTGTATTACATAATATATGTGGGTATTTGCATAACTTTGTATTTATTTATTTAGTCATGTTTATGTAGTTGGAGGTGAAGAGCCATATGGAATGAAATTTCCTTTTAATGTATGCCGATTACTGTACAAGTGACAATAAAATTATTCCATTCCATTCTATTCTAATTTCTATTCTATTCTCTCTTTCATGTGTATCTTTTAATGCACAAAGGCAAGAACTACACTCACACCTACAGGCTCAGTCCTGTAATTAAAATATATATTTCTGTACATGCTCCACATGTGTCAAAAGAGAAAACAAAGGAGTTTGGCACTAGTAAGGTGCAATGCAAACAAAATAAAAAAATATCAAAGAACCACCATCCACATACTGATCAGGTAAGATCAAATTAGAAAAGAGCCCGTAGGTATAGATTTTTTCCCCCAGAATTCTTTGTAAAGCAAGGTGGTAAAATTAAATATATGAGAGGAGGAGGAGAGAGAATGAGCTGGATAAACAGTCTGATTTTAGAATCTTGGTGGTGTCTTGAAGACCTATCCTGAATAAGCCGAAAAAAGAAAAAGGTTATGCAAGGATACATTTGTCAGTTTTTAAAGTGTCAGGAGATTCATTGGGGCTGGACTGTCAAAACGCTGAAGCATCTACACCTCTGAAAATAGCCTGCTCTATGACAGCTTTCTGAATTTACAAGTCGTGGTCTTTGTTCTCACACATAGGGACAATCTCTTATTAAATGGTATTTCACGCATCCCTCCTAGCTGGATTCGCGGTCTCTGGGGAGCACCTGCCATCCCAATATCCTTATTTTTGCCGAATCTATAAATAAAAGATAACGCGTTTACCTGTCCAGTCATTTCTGCCTCTAGGGGGCAGTGCTCATCTCCCTTTCTTAGCCTTAGACCCGGGATGTCAAACTCAAGCCCCACGGGTCAAATCTGGCCTGCGGGGTGTTTAAATCCAGCCCACGGGGCGAGCCTGGAAATAACATGAGACCGGCCCGCGGTGCCTCTGGAAGCCAAAATGGGCGTGGTGGTGGGGGCTGTGTGAGGCCCCCTCCAACCCGTTTTCAGTCTGGACAGCCTCCTGCAGCACTCTGGAGGCCAAAATGGGGTGCTGGAGAGCCTCACGTGACACACATCCCCTCACACCCCATTTTGGCTGGCAAAGTGCTGCAGGAGGCGTCCGTCCCATCCTCCTCATCTCCTCCCCCCCACCCCACCGGCCTGGCCCGCGGAGAACTACAATGCCGAGCCGGCCCTCGGAGAAATCCAGTTTGACACCCCTGCCTTAGACCACGGTCAGAGGATCAGCATCAGAGGTGGTATTCAGCTGGTTCTGACCAGTTCTGGAGAACCAGTAGCGGAAATTTTGAGTCGTTTGGAGAACCGGCCAATGCCGCCCCGCCAACCCCATCTATTGTCCGTCTCCAGAGTCCCAGCTGATCGGCTGCGTCTCCTTTGGTTGCCCTGCACAGGAGAACGGAGCTGGAAAGCAGGCTAGTGGGGTGGGGAGGGAAGGGGGATTTTACAGTATATCCTTCCCCTGCATGGCCACCACAAGCCACGCCCACAGACTCAGGTGAGGGGCCGGGGACCATTAGGGAGTGAACTGCTGCCTTCAGAGATTGTGGGGGCTGGCCGCAGCGATGAGGTTCCTGAGGAGCCTGTGCCAAGTGCGTGTGCGCGCAGGATTGCTTGCAGGAAAGAGCAGCTGCTGCAGCATGGGCGACTCGGGAGTAAGGCTGCAAGGTAATGGCCCCTCCTTCAAGAAGATAAAAGCCAGCTGTGAAGTGAACGTTCTTTGCAGGAAGCAAAGACATTTTGAAACTCAGCCTCGTGGACATTGCTATATCTTAAGTTGGTATTTGAAGACTCTTGTGTTGTAAAATATTTCTTATCTGTGATTCTTGGCAGCCTCACACAGTTTTGGCAAGGTTTGTGCTTATCAAAGTTAATTAGTTTGCAGCAGCCTTTTTAACCGGGGATTCGTAAGAATCATTAAAAGGCTTATGTTCCCTTTGGTTCGTGTTTGTTTTATTGGAAAAGGGTTTGGGTCAGAACACCACTAGGCCGTTGTGTCACTTGAATCTATAGCTAGTTTCTGTTAATCAAGCCTCCCAAGGGGTCATTTCAAAGGAAATTGATGGCCTTTTTTTGCAGGTTGCCTAGTTGGGAAACTTTACAAGGGAAATTGGAAGTTGCAGCCAAACGTAGGAAAGCAACGAGACGCAAAGAAAGAACTTACTTGCCAGTCCTTTTTAATCTCTCCGACCGGAAGTTTTCGTAATGCAAATCCTGGGTTACTTCTTGGAGATCTTGCATGTGTGTCCTGAGACAAGAAACACAACAGGGGCTGGTCAGAATAGACATTAATCAATGGTATGTCTTCCATATGGCTTCTTTAAAAAGCTTTTCTGCAGACCGGACAACGCGGTTAGCAACAAACAGGACAAAATCTTCAAAGTGTAGCATGAAAATTGTCCAGTAGAGGGAACGCTTGGACTGGAATTTATTTTGTTTTCCAAAGACGCAAAGTGGGATTAGGAATAAACAGCCAGGAATTTCTCACTCTGTCTGTCTCTCTGTATCCATCCATCCGTATCTATCTATTCATATTTATCAGAATATCCATTTCTTTCTTTTTCTTTCTTTTCCTTTCTTTCTACCCATCTATATCTACAATCCATATCTATATTTATATCTACCTACCCATCCATCCCTCCATCCTTATTTATCATATCTATTTCTTCATATTTCTCCATATCTGCCTGCCTATCTATCTATCTATCTATCTATCTATCTATCTATCTATCTATCTCTATCTTTTTATCTATCTATCTCTATCTTTTTATCTATCTATCTATCTATCTATCTATCTATCTATCTATCTATCTATCTATCTATCTCTCATCTCTCTCTCTCTCTATCCATCCATGCATCCATCCATCATCTACCTACCTATAATACATGCATATCTATACATCCCTCTCTCTCTAGCTTATCATCCATCTCTGTCATCCATCCGCCCATCCATCTAGTATCTCATCTCTTACGTATTTTATCTATCTGACCTGCCATCCCTGTCTGTCAGCCTGTCAGCCCATCCATCCGTATCTATACATCCATCCGACCGTCCCTATTGATCCCTTTCCCTCTTTCTCTCTCTCTCGTCTCAGTGACACCCGTGGGATTTCGCTAGCTGACACAATCCACGGTGCGTGCCAAAGAAGGCACGCCACTTACACCAGCATCGTGCGCAACTTGAGGAAGTCGTTGTGTTCGGGGTTCTCCACTTCCACCACCCCCCAGGGGTAGAGGCGACCTCGGATCTTTTTCCCCTTCACTTCGATCAGCTGGTTGGACCCGATCACAGCGAAAGGAACGCTGGCCTGGAGGAGTCAAGAGGAGGAAGAATCCCACGTCAGGCGCCATATTGGAAAGCTGAGAGACCATCAGTTATCCCGTTGATGTTATTCTTCTTGCTGTGCTCCTTGGTCTTTATTTTATTGTCCAGTTGCTTTACTTCTGTTCTGCTTACATTCCTTTCCTTTTCTTCCTTTGTATCACAGGTAGTCCTCAACTTACGTGTCAGGGCTCCGACAATCCACCCCTATTCAAATCATAAGTCTCTAGCTGCATCTCTCAGAGTAAACATTTTTGATTTATTAGGAGTGACCGTGTCGGCGTTACCTGGGTGCACCCAACTCTAAGACACATCATTCATTTCACCTTTGACCCTGGTCTTCCCCCCCCCCACACCCCCTGGATGTATATTCTCCACTGGGACACATCCATAGTCAAGAGTCATCAATCATGCTCTCCAGTAATAATCTTGCGCACCAACAGCTTCGGCTGCCTAGCAATTATCTGAAGCATTTAAGGAATGCACTGCTTTCTCCCACTCCCTTTCTGCTGGCAACTAAAAAGACCAAAGAAGTATTTTTAGTCGACATTACGAACATTTGCTCAGGGACCGTTCAAAGTTTCAATGGCATTGAAAAAAACCCACTTAGGACCGTTTTTTTATGCTTACGACCGTCGCAGCATTCCTTGTGGTCACGTGATCAAAATTCAGAGGCTCGGCAACCGGCTCATATTTACGACGGTTGCAGTGTCCCGGTGGGGCAAGAAAGGTCATAAAATGAGGCAAAAATCATTTAACCACTGCCTTGCTTAGTCACAAAAATGCCAGGCTCCATTGTCAGCGTACGTCAAGGACTGTCTATATTGTAAGCCATATAGAGTAGGCCCAGGGCGAGATAAGCCGCAAATAAACTTAACAACTAAATGATATGCATACATACATAAATACACAGGGTGAAAGCTGGCAGATTTAGAAGCCCTTTTTCCTGCATGTGAAAAACCCACAACTCGTACTTCCAGAAGCCCACGATTTGACCCCACAAACAGCAAAAAAATTTGCTCCGCCTTCAGCAATGCACCCTTTGGGCGAAAAGCACCTGGGAACTAACGTTCTTAAGATGCAGGTTTTTATCCAGAAAGAATCAAAGGGTGTAACACTGAACAATTAATTAGTTTTAGCAACCTTTCTCCGTTACCAGAATCTTCTTTCTTTTAACAACTCCCATCATCCTTTGCAAGGTTGGAGCCTGGGCAACTGAACAGAGGTAGCAGAGTATTTACTGGCCGGATATCCTTCCTATTGCCAGTGCGGAGTTTTATTCAGCAGATATATTCTCATTGTGCCCGGAAAGAGAAATATCTGCCTCTACCTAGGATCGAACTCACAGCCTCCTGATTGTGAGGCGGGAGCTGCACCTCTAGGCCACCGCACCGCTCCCTTTCTATGTTATCATGGTGGGAGGACTTACGACTGGTGTCTATGAAGATTCTCAGTCATCCAGGTCACGGTTGCCCCAAAGCTCCTTTTTTTTCAAGAGGCAACTGGATTTTCCGGTTTTCAAGGCCTTTGAAGAAACACAGCCCAGTTGCCTTTTTGTTTTTTGTTTTAAAAAAAGCACCTTTGGGACTTACGACTGGTCCTCCTCTTTGGATCGTAAGTTGAGGACTATCTATAATGACACAGTTGCATCAGTTTACCTTCAGGACCCTTGTCTGTTCTTTGAACTCTTCGTCCTCGTCGGAATCGGCATCAGGCAGCTGGTAAATCCGGATGCCATGCTCGGATATTTCATCTAACACCTGCCAATGTCAAAAAAGAAAGAAAGAAGGAAAGGAAGGAAGGAAGGAAAAAGAAGGAAAGGAAGGAAGGAAGGAAGGAAGGAAGGAAAGGAAAGGAAAGGAAAG